AGGAATGTCCCACTCCACCAGCAGCCGCTTGTTCACCAGCTTATAACTCTGAGATAATTTAAACACAATGTTAATAAATATAAGCACTTTGTGTTAGTCTACCTTTTTACCATTTGTAAGCAGTATATACACATTTAACAAATTGTTTAACACATATAGTTTCAGTCAGAGTAAAGTGTTTATTAATGTTTGACATCTCCTGTTAGTATGAGGGTTTGGATCTGGGGGAGTTTGGACCCAGAAGTGGAACGTTATGTCACCCTTAACAAGTGGATACCACTCCTGTTAATCATACAGATTGAAAGTAAACTGTTACCATAAATATGTGTCATCTTTCCTGATAGTTGGATTAATGAACCTGGGACGGTACTTGTATGGCTATACATTGTGAGGACAAGTTTGAGCTTTAAAGCATGGGAGGGAGGACATTTTATTGTGTATAGATGTATATAATGTTTATGAATACTGCCTCTCCTCCTCCTCCTCCTCCTCCTCCCACCCTTTCCCCACCTTGATTGCACTATTGTCTGTTGCCTAAAACACACAGGCGCTGTATGTTAAACATATTTGTGTGATTAAAGCTGATTGTAATTCTGAGTCTGATTCTGTCCTCACAACCTCAACATGCTGTTGGAGGGTTTATACTTTTAGGGTTCAGGTTACAATCGGGTTTAACTGAGGGTTATTGGATGTATTATGTCAATGAGCGTCCTCACGAAGATAGTTGTACAAATGAGTGCATTTCTGACCTCGTTGTTGCCATGGGCAACAGTCAGGTTGAACCCAAGCCGCGATGCGATGACTTCCTCATGTCTCAGATCCTTAAATGGGCGTCTGATGTGATTGGCTGAGACGTGATACTCAAGATCTCGACCAGACAGAGTCTAAACACACAGACACACGAATGCATTAGATTTCACTGTGTGAAACTGCTGCTATTCTGATTGAACTGATTTCATTCTCAAGGCTAATAACAAGTACTTGTCAAATAAAAGGTCAATAGATGGATCCTCACTAACACATGTTGGAATTCCAAGCATGTAGGTGACATATTATACTTCAGTGAAATCTGTAGCCTGTGTTCTTTGTTCCATCCATTTTCTATACTGCTTATCCTAATGAGGGTCACAGGGGCCTGGAGCCAATCTTAGCTAACATTGGGCGAGAGGCAGGGTCCAACATTTAGTGTTGGTCTTTTATACTGAACTTGGAGCCCAAGTACTGTAACTATTGAAGTGTAGGGACTGTAACATTACCTGGTTTTTGGAGAAGCCAGAGTTATGAGGAACAAACAGCGTGACTTCAGACTTCCTGTAAGTCAGAAATTCAACAAGCTGTTTCCCCTCCGAGGACAAGCCGCTATAATCCAACAGCAACTACACGGAGAGAGAAAGGACAGTGAAGTTATTTAGTTCTTCAGTCCAGTTCTTGTCAAGACTTAAAAAACCACCAACCCATCTGTAATGCATGGTTATATTTTATAAAATCTTAAAACTAACACCACACAAAAGTTTAAACTCAAATGTACAAATTCACAGCTGCTTTAAGCAGCTGATCCACAGGGATTTAGGTCCACAGAACAATGCTGGATCAAATGTAGACCACAAAGGTAGACTTACTGTGTGGGCCTGGTTCAGGTCAGATCAATATCAACTTTAAACAGCCTTCACATTTAAATTTTTGTTGTTCCATTTCAAACATCCATGTTTGTCACTCTCTCCTGTCATCATATTCAAGCTCTTTTAGCCTTTTACATTATATTATTAAACTGATATTTGCTATAGGAGCCAAGTGATCACCAGCTGCAGAAATATACACAATACTAATGGTGCAGACAGGAAATTAAGAGTGCGTAGGATTGGAGGCGATGAAGGCCACATGCCACCTCCAGACAGCCTTGCCTCCCTTGATCTGCATTCTTTAATACACACCTTCACATTCCAGGCCATCTCTCAACAAGACCCACTTTCTATTATGTTTGATGTAAATGCCAACCAAATGGCAGGATTCACTATTAGCCCAGCAGGAGGACTGACCTGTCAGATAACACGGGGGCTCAAAAAGAGCCAAACTTTTACAACCCTGCATTCCTGAGGCCCACATACCATGTTTCTACAATAGAGGATGGAAGTTGTATTCCTCGCAAATTCCACCAACAGAAAGCCCTGATCCTGTCAACAGAACCATAGACTCTTATCAACTTGCTCAGACTGAATACCAACCGGGACACACACCACTGCATCAACTCAGACTCTGATTTCCGCACTGCAATCACCCCTCCCCCAAACACAGAGGCCACATTTCTCTCCCCTTGGATTTAACTTACAAGGCCTACATTTGGACTTTACTCTCAGGCTTTATGTTTTATAGACATTGAACTGTCATCCATGTTGTAAAATGTGTAGAATTTCACCATCTTTAGCATTAACGTAGAATCCCACCTATAGTTAATCAGTGCAGTCAGTACATGTGAATATATTGTATATTCTGGAACATGCTAAAGCTACATATGCACTTCTTTATATCATGTTAATCCTTCTAACTTCAGGATTACACATCTGCAGTCAAACGCATGGTTTCCCATTTTCACAGATTTGACTAAAGTCGATTAAGAAGAAGAAGAAGAAGCGGGCCATGCTCCTCTGGGCGGTGCACTTCTATTGATCAAATACCCTCTACCTTCAAACCCAGAGGGCCCTGCTTTATCAGGAGGAGTCCTGGCAACAGCCACTGACTGATGAGAATAGATCTTAAAAAACAACTAACACTCCCAGAGGAGATTACAGCTCAACTCTTAGGCCAGACATTATTCTATGGTCTGGAGTGACAAAACAGGTGGTGCTCCTCGAGCTGACAGCACCGTGGGAGGAGGGGATAGAGGAGACCCCTGAAAGAAAGCTGAAGGTGTAACAAGTTTCAAGAGTGAAAACAACTGCTGTCCATTATTGAACTGTTGATTTTACTCATTTACTATGTATATTTTGTATTTGTTGTAATATGTTGACTGTTGTTGTACATCAGTTGTATGCACTGTCAGTTTCATAACTAAAAACAACTGTTGCTATATGGTGAAACTAGTGGCTGACCGATTAATCTGATCACGTCTCCGTCTGACAACTGAGAGGAAATGGCTCTGATGAAATACCTGGATCAGACCCAGGGTAAGGAGACATCCAAGTCCTGATCACCTTCGGTAATTGATGTCTCCAGATAAATGTATAATTACCTACTTTTCATAATACAAATATCAGTATCATCTAAAGACAATTAATGATGTTAATCTTAAATAAGAATAAAGCCATTAAATCCACTGGATCTATAATCTGACAATCTCTTGACTTCACACTCACCTTGTAAAAGATGGAGACATTGCTGTTAGCTGCCAGAACACTGGTCAGGACGCCATTACAGAAGTCTCCATTTCCAACATAACCAGCGGGACACACACAGGAAACATCTGCACACACAGAAAAAACCGTTAGCTGCACATATCTGTGACTTCTGTAATTATGACCCTAAATCATAAGTACAAGATAAGATTTTTTTTTTCTTCGGTGAATGCAGTGCCCTTTAGTGGGATGGCATGTTTTAAAAATAATAAAGACAGAAAATCACTGGCCTTATCCTCCCAGTGGCCCAAGCACCATGTTAGTGCCTAGTGCAAACATGTTTCATGAAGAGCTGTTCTTTGTCCATCTATTCTTTCTCTCTGGAGTGTGTATTTTGAACCAAGCTCATTATTTAAGCCTTTTCTTCATCCTACATCCAAACTGAGAAAATATTTTCCTTACTCATTGTTAAACTGAATCCGCAAAGAGCTCTGGCAGTAGACTAAACTACAAATTAAAACAACAGCAACAGATGCTGTTCAGGAATTCAACTCCTGAGTGATAAAAGCAGCAGGTAGCATTTCCAACGATCTGTCAGCAGGACAGACATGGGTGCTGTGTGGCCGCAGTACCTCTGAGCCTGTAGCAGTAGGCGTCGTACTTGCTGCTCTGGTCTACAGGCTCTTTGTAAATAACCAGGCCCACGTGGTTGTCTCCACACCTGACTGATGGGAAGCGGGTCGGGTATCCCACCTTCCCCCCCGCCATCCATCCAGCGACGCACAGATGCATCCCCAACTGTCAGGACCAGAGAAGAACAACGACAGCAGGATAAATCATTGATCCCAAGTCCCAGCATGCACTGCTGTGGTCAGTACAGGCAACAGATGAAAATACTACTTCACAATTAACAGAAGAGGTTGCTACAGTGTATCTGGAAATACTGCACGTCAGTACACAGGTCAGACTTTTAATCTGACCTCAGCGGTTCAACAGACTGATGGACAGCTGCAGAGATTTCAGTGTTTGCTTTCTTAATAATAATAATAATAATGGTCTTATACTTGTATAGCGCCTTTCTATGCTTTTACAACACACTCAAAGGGCTTTCACATTATTCAGCCATTCACCCATTCGCACTCCCAAGCACTCACGCATTCACACACCGGTGACATCACCGGGAGCAACTGGGGGTTCAGTGTCTTGCTCAAGGACACCTCGACATGTTGACTGGACAAGCCGAGAATCGAACCGCTAATCCTCCGGTTAGGAAACGACCTGCTCTACCTCCTGAGCCACAGCCGCCCCACTTATTTAGCGACAAAAACAGAGTAAATGTTGATTTATACTTCTGTGAACGTAAACTGTCACTGGCAGTTTGTGTTTTCACCGACAAGTTTCTGACGCTGGTGGAGATTGTTGATGGTGACAAAAAAAAAAAAAAAAAGAAGACACCACTGCAAACTTCCATTTATCACTCTACCACAGTGAACGAAAGAATGTAAATATGAATACTACAGACCTTAGTTTCATATGTAGGTGTGAAGTTACTTCTATCAATGAAGAAATAAACAGTTGGCCAGATCATATAGAATACCGCACGTCTGTCTGGTATTGTGTTGTTCTATCAGTGGGTGCATTGCCCATAAAACTCTACAATATGCTGTTGTGTCAGCAGCAGCAGCAACAACACATCTGCCTTCAAAGTTTAACATTTAGGTAAATATACTTTTTTGCTTTTCTTACTAGAATGAGGTAAGAACATCAGTGCTAATGGAATAATGGACTGATAAGATGTTGTTCTTCAGGACATCTTTAAAAAGGGCTCAGTAATTTCTTAAAACAGCTGGTCACTCGTTTTTAGCAGATGTTAGTCAAACAGCAGGAAATAGAAATAAAGGCGTTACATATCTGCAGGAACTCTTTTCAGATTAAACCCCTTCTGGATGTGGTTTACCTGCTGTGCATCTCCCAGCTGTTTAAAGGTGACCAGCGTGGCGCCCTCTGCCTGGCAGGCAGCGTCTGCCTGGCTGAAGTTCATTTTGTACTTCCCCTCTGGAGAGCGCAGGTGGAACACTCCGGCTGTGTTGGCTGAACCACAATAACCAAGTTACCTTTACCCTAGCATCAGACTACTGTCATCCTGCAGTACAATTTAATGCCTATGGATGAAAACAAAATGCAGTGCACTGATTCGAGGCAGAAAAATTACCGATAAGAAAAATTGCCACTGATTAAAAATGGCTTACGCAAATGCAAAAGAAAATCGTGGTCTTTGGACACAGAACTGCATTGCAAATTGTGAACTGTGCATAACCATTACACCCTGATTAATGAGCACCGGATAAGAGTAATTTCAGGATATTAACAGACTGAGCCTTAATAGGCTCCATATTAAATCAACCCTAACAAGCCTAGGGCCCTAATGAGCTCAGGGCACTGCCTGCTATATTCCAGATGAACGCTTGTTTAGTTACCAGTCCCAGGAAATCACTCGTCAAACACAGCCAATGAACAATGTCCTCTGTAACATCACAATGGCAACACAAATACTATAACTCAGTTACCATAGCAACTGCACTGGAGTCAGACAACAGAGCACTTGATTACACTGCAGCTGCTGGCTGATTTCAGATGTGTTACCATGGCAACATGAGAAAACTGGTGTTGCTGGATGGATATGTGGCATAACCGGCCTGTTACTCATCTGCTACCATGGTAACAGTAGTCACGGTGGATGCATTACCATGGCAGCAAGCGTTACTACCAATGTGTTATCAATACATTTCAGAGTTTCCATTGAGTTGCCTTGGAAACAGCAATCATTATGGATGTGTTACCATGGTAACAGACATTCCTACTAACAAGTTATCATCACATTTCAATAAATTGAAATGGGTGTGTTACCAGTGTACTGAGGTAACAAAGATCATTATGGATCATTAATGGAAATCATTACAAATCTGTTAAAAGTACAACAGTCTGAGAATGTGTTACCATGGTAATGCAAGTCCTTGCAGGTGGCCACAGGGTCACAGCCTCCATTTTCTTCCAGGCAGCGGTCAACAGGGGGCACCATCTTCTCCAGACACTGCACTCCATTACCCACGTACCCTGGCAGGCACTCACACTCGCGCTCGTTCTGGATGAAGCAGATTGAGTGATCAGGTTAAATCAGAAAATCAGATTAGATGCTGCTGGCTAGTTCTCCCGCTTCTCTCCTCTGTCCTCCTAGTTTTCTGAACTTAATGGTTATTTTATATGTATTTAGGATATATAAGACATAACACAAAACCTTTTCAGATACTGACATGTTGGAAAAGGAACACCATAACAGTTTGGCACTTTCTCTGTCCCTGAATCTCGGTCAAACTAATTTTATTCAGAAGAAAAAAATAACACTAACACACATATTCAACACACTTATTCTCAATTTTTAAGGGAATACCGTATGCAAAGCTGAATATTGCAACACTGCAGAGCTGACTCGAGTGCATCCAAACACAATGACCAAGCAAACAAAAAGCTATAAAGGTTTTTACTCACTGGGCCAGTGAACTTGCAGGAGGCAAAGTCACTGCAGCCACCATTCACCTCTTCAACACATCTGGATTACAGACGGACAGAAACACTTACATTAATGCCAACCCATCTTTGGCAAAGAGGAGAAAACCACAGAAGAGAAACAGGTTATTAATTCAGAGAAAGTGACAGGTTACGCTCACCTGTTGATGGGCTCGCAGGAGTAGCCGTCTCCTTGGTAATCACTGTGACAGGTGCAGTTGACGACCAGTCCTGTCTGGTTACAGTCTGCGTTTTGGTGACAGCCACCATTATACTCTGAGCAGAGGTCTGGAGCTGGAGAGGTTTAATAAAACTGTCATCTGATCTCGTATGGTGAACAAGTATCTGAAACCATCCCGTGAATGCATTTCATCTTCATATTTACAGTGCACATCTTGCTCTTTATTATGCAGTACAGAGCAGTCTGGGTTTTCCAGTATCACTACACATAACTCACATTTTAACTGATATTTCATTGAAGCATCTAGACTCAGTATTTTTGTACTAACACTATACAGTGAAAGTGGTGGTTCGTAGTGATAAACCTAGAGAATTAGAACCTGAATCTACAGCTCCCTTCGGCTTAGCAGGAAAAAGCCCTAAAATCCACTGGACACAACCAAACACCACAGCAACACAGTTAGAGACTGGCTGGTGAACATGGTGGAGCATTTAGTAACTTAAGAGCTTGAGATTTCTGTCAGGGGCTGGTGGAGACCAAAAACAGAGCTATACTACCCTCCTCCATCACTCTCTGCTGCCTGCTGCTTCTCTACCCCCTGTGGTCAAAGTACAGTCTGTAAATCAGCCCCGTCTGCCACCTAGTGAAGGTTATAAGAAGTCATTTTTTGTTTTAACTGAGTAGTAATTTGAAGCAGCCAGCCACGGAGGAGCTCTGGGCAGCTAAAAGCCTGAAACAGTGGCTGCCAGAGTGAAGAGGTGGTGTCTTTTTGCAGAGATAGTGGGACAAAGAAAGAGCAAAAATCAGGGTTGACATGAATTTGGCTTTTTAGAGATGAAGAGGGTTCAAAGCAGCCAAAGGACCCAGAGTTCTTCCTTCTGGACATGCTAGCATCTAAAGCTAACATGTTTGTTTTGATAACATTAGCAATTTAGCATGTTCATAATTTTACCTTTATATTGTATTAATATAATTTTAATTTGGGAGAAATTCACGCTTTCTGCAACGTTAGTACGTTGTGTCACAATAACGGTAACCAGAGCGTACTACAGGACCGATCATTTTAATTGTGAGCCAGCTAACACTAGCTTTGGACTGGAGGCTGCATTTTGCATTTTTTTTTGTCTCAACCAGGCACCTGTAGTTTATGTTGTCACAAGGAAATAGGACATGATAGGAGAAGCAAAGCCAAGGCAGCTTATGGTGTCTGTTTAGAGTCTCACTAGTCCCTCTAGGCTGAAAAGAGGTTAGAGCAGCTTTTCCAGTCTCTATTTCTTCTGTGGCTTCAAAGATATAAATGTCCTAAAACATAAAGTTATTATTTGTATTATATAACAACAAAGCCTTTTTCTTTAGTGCCAATAAGAGTCACTATCTTCATGCTGACAAGAAGCTGCAAAGTGTCTCCAGCTGGCAAATCATCCTCCTGAGCTGCAGAATACTCACGTGGCTCTGGACTGCAGAAGGTGCCGTTTCCCTGAAATCCAGATTTACACTGACAGCCCACAACTGGCACACAGACAGCCTGAGAGTGGCACTGCCGACATTCCTCTGGGATTGAACCTGGAAAGAGACAGGTGGATGATTCATCAAAGAACAAAGCTAAAAGGGTAAATGGATTTAAATTTGTAAAATAAAATCCAGGAGCTGATATAAGCAAATGTCTGTATTATTGGTAATAACTAGAATGCACTTGGACAGCAGAAATCTCCATCAAGGTTGTGCAAGAGAAAAGAAAAGAAAATCTTTAGAATGCTTTAATTAAACCTTTGCAGGTGAGCACCTCATGACACAGGTTAAGATGTTGTCAATAATGTGCAAAGCAATCAAGCCAAACAGTGGCTACTTACAGGAATATAAATTGTCAAACATATTTTGCTTTGGTTAACATTTGGCTGAACTCGTCAGTGACCAGCTGTTTTAGGAAATTAATGAATATTTTCTATATATTTGTGAACTGTTTTTAGAGACTGACATCTTCAGTTGGAACCAATGGGCTCAATGTCAGACAGGATAAGGAAGTACAAGAAAGAAACTGATGTTTTGGCGTATTCGTGGGTATTGTTAACAATAACAATAATACAGAACAACATAAGACTCATTGTTTTAACATCTTTGATACCTATTAAATGTATCAGGTCCTGACATTCAGGAGGAAAACTCACCTATTTCATTCTGGCAGCGATCACCCACCCAGCCTGGGTTACAGAAACACTGTCCAGTACCTTCAATGCCCTGGTCGCACCTTCCCTGCTTCCCACAGCTACAGGCTGAGAGAGACACAAACAAAGCATAACTCAACCTCACCCCACTCCTTCAGGCATCCAGGATTCCTGCAGTAACAGACAATGTGAGGTGACAGAGCACTTCAAGTCTGGATGGACATGAAACTGTTTTGGTTCAAGCATCAGTACAAAAGAGAAACAACAATGTTAGAAAGTTTCTGAAATAGCAAAAGCAACTACAACTCCCATGGTGCATTCCAGTAGAAAACATCCAATCAACGAGCTTCAAATTCTGTTGCATGAGCTACAAATGTCAAAATTAGTTTGATTCTGGATCAGTTCAGAATAAATTCAACAACCACAGCGACAGATTTTGTTCTCAATTGCATCAACAAGGAGTCCTGAACTCTTCATGGAGCCACTTGGTTCTGAGAAATCAAGCCCCTAGCTGCAACCCAAGTCGAGTTGGGTACAAATTTTAGTCAGTTTAATTGGGTCAGGTAAGATCTAATTTTACTGCTGTGGGTCTCGGGTCTACGTCCAATAGCCAAGTGGGGTGTTTGTATGTTCTCTTTGTGGCTGCCTGAGTTTTCTCTGGGTGCTCTGCTTCCTCCCACAGTCCATAGACAAGCAAGTTACTCTGACTGGTGAAACAATAATTCCTAGTAATACAATTTATGGCCCATATATGATGACTTAACAAGTCCACAGGACATAGATCTCTGTCTGAAGCGACATATTTTTGACTAGGAGTCAGAGACCTCAAGACTACAAAGACAAAACAAAGGCAAAACTGTCCCAAAGAAACTTAAAATGACCAAAATGAGACTGAAAATAGTCCTCAGAGAAGCACGAAACAACCACAAATGACATAACAGTGACTGTGTTTTGAGTTTCTCAGTCTGGGAGTTATTTCCATTTTATTTGTTTATGCCCAGGGGCCCATTGTCTCTTACTGTATTTCTTCTAATCCTGAACCCAGATAAGCAGCAAGTACTGCCAACTTCAGTTTCAGATAAATATTTTATTATATTATTGAGTTCTGCATATTGTTTCTACAGGTAATCATTTTGTAATTTCTGTTTTGTACTTGTGGTGTTTTTATCTTGTGTGTCTGGCTACAAGTTTCCCAGCTGGGATAACAACATGAAATTAAATATTCTCCTAAAGATGAGGGAACTGAACATCTCTGAACTGTAACCACATTCGCTGAAATGAATTATGTAAATCTCTGCTTCAAAAAATGTTTCTAAACTAAAACTAATAAACAATGTTAAAAACTGAAATATCTGTCAAAACTGTCCACAGGGACAACTGTCCATCATATTGCTCTTTTTTCTTTTAAGAATTTTACAAACACCAAAGCTTATTAACACACATGATGACGTTAATGGGAGCTACTTCAACAGGCTGTCACTGAAGCAGCGCCATCCACATATCACAAACAAATTGTTGGAAAAAGGTTTATCAAGGGACAGTAGCATCAAGTGACCCACAGTACAATTACTATACATTCTGTACTTGCAAAGAGTAAACAGTAGATCTAGAATAGATACCTTATTTACTGATTGTATTGCTGTTGTGTGCTTACACCAACTCAGTTCTCATAAGCAAACTGCAGAGATACAGACATATTATCTGTTGTGCTGAAACCAAACCCAGCTGCATATTTATCTCTGTTGTACCTGTGCAGTTGGGGCCATAGCGGCCGGTGGCACACAGTTCACAGCTTACTCCTCTAAAGTCTTTGTGGCACCTGCAGCGTCCTGAACCACGCAGACCATCGTCACATTCCCCATAGATTCCACCACAAGGGGCCTCAACGCCTCCGGGACAAACTAATACAGGAAAAGGAGTGAAAAGAGCTCTGTCACAGTGTCAGCATGTTTTTTTTTTAAATGTATTAGTACATTCTTTTATTAATAAAGGGAATGAAGGAAGGTGTTGTAAAGCTTTTGACTGGTAGGATACATGTCAGGGGCAGACACTGTGTTGTCAGTAATACTGAGGAAAAAGAACACCAGCTGTTTTTGTCCCATTTAATGTGCTGCAGCTGAGTAGTTAGCTTGCTAGCTTGTAAACTGACATTAGCAATGCACATTTCCCCAGTGAATGTTTGTTTGGTGGCTCGCTCAACAAGCTAAGGTGCAGGATAACCTGCATGTTCATTTTTCTGCTTGATAAGAAGGAGGTTTGCCGAAAAGCTAATGTGGATCAATGCAGCTCTTCTGTAGCATACATCTCCAAATCACTGCTCCAAATCCAATGAGGCTACTTCAACATGAAAACACAAAATTCACGGTCTAGTGCCAGTGTGTGGTTTGTCCTTTCTAGGCTACCGTTAAAAAAAAACCAAAACAAAACATGGCATTGCTAATGATACGGGACCCGCTCAGTATGTAGATATAAAAGGCTGTTTTAGTTTCAGGTCTCGTTAAATGTACTTGTGAAAGTAATCATAATTAACCTAAACATGATCAATAAATTTTAACATCTATCAAAACCACATTTAAGATATTTTCAAACTTTTTAAGGCCCAAAATTCAGATTATGGGATTTTAGACTTTAGAACCTGCAGAAACCTTGATTTTCAGCTCCGCAAATTGCAATGCTTTAAGAATGAACAGTGAAGCCCCTGGGTGACAAGATTTACTTCACACCTCTACAGGCTGGATGAATCCGACCTTCCTTCCTTCCTTACCTTGACAGTCTCGGCCGTAGTGGTTTTTGCAGCACTTCTGCACCCAGGAAGGAAACTGACAAACTCTCTTACAGCCTATTCTGCTGAAATCGTCCAGGCTATCATACCAACGTGGGTAGCCAGGCCCATGCCTCTGGTAAGGGTAATTTAAACAATGCTCCGTTTTTTTCTGGAAGAAATCAGGAGCGACATTAACTCAATATTTTACAAGCTGAAAACATTGTGATTTTTTTTAGCAGATGACGAGCGCTTACTGTGTCAGTGTGTCTGAGGGGGCAGGGCGGAGGGAAGCGGCAGGATCCACAGCGCCCCTGAAAGTATTTGAAGACAGAAGATTCAGTCCAGCTTCCAATACAAGGACAAAGGCTAAGATCAATTCATTAACTACAACAGCATCACACTGGTATTTGCAGTAGTGAAGCCATATTTGAAACCCTGGCACTAGTAACAACAATAGCCCAGGTAGTGGTTGTATGAAGGCCTGGTCACACCATGAAGTGGCACAGTGAAATTCTTCCATGTGTTTTCATAAATATACTATTTGGATCTAAAAACTGGGTGCTGTTCTAGAGCTGCACCGATTAACTGGTTAGTGGAATGAGAAACAGGTTGCACACAAGATTAATCACTGTATAGAGGAAACAGTTGCAGCCTTAGACTACTCTCAAGGTTAGCTGGTGAGCAAACTGCTAAAGCCCCACGGGGCATTTGCTAGCACTAGTCGGTTACAGTAACATTTTCATTCTGAAAGGGATTTTCTGCATCATATCATCTTTATTTTTGTGAGTTATATTTTAAACATTATAAACCACCCAGTAACCTTTGCACCAGTTTAAGTACATCGAATGGGGCCAGTATTAGAATTTTTTTCACATAATTGTGCATTAATTAGTTGAATAAAAAGCTGGAACAGTCTCTAAATTATTACTCTTCTGTGTTTCAATTTATACTTACAGAGAGGTCACAAATTAAAGGAAAGACCTGAATGCTTGACCTCAACAGAGAGGAGACCCTGTGGCTTTTGCTGACATGGCTTGGGTCCACTTGTCCTCTTAGAGGGAGGGGTCACTGCAAATCAATACAGAGTTGTTCTGATTGATCACCTTTAACATTTCTATCTGATGGGAGATGCCAGTGCCCCGGTCCACAGGGCACGTAGGGTCACTGAATGTTTTGAGGAGTCTGAAAATGATCAGAATCAGAATCTGCTTTATTGGCCAGGTGTATCGGACACCTGAGGAATTTGACTCTGGTACATCAGCTCTCAATGTGCATGTACATATCCCCATGCAAGGGCCAAGTAAACAGTAAACCAGCATAAGGCTGTGTAGTATAAGAATGCTGTACAGCCATATGCACAGCAGCAAGCTTCTGCTCCACAGCCGACCGCACCACCTTATGAATGGGATTCTGTTCCCATGCACCGTGGACCTCAGTACCGTGGCAGACCACGGGGAAGAGGTCAAGGACCTCGGACTCCTAGGAGAGCTCCAAGAGATGATAGATGCTGGATCTTTAACGAAAGAGGACACTGGTCGCATAAATGTCCCTTTGCATATCAGCAGTCACAGGGTGTACTGCGATATCAGTATCAGGTCTACCCACCTTCACAGGATGGATATGTTCAGCAGTTCCCATCATCAGCCCAACATCGAGCACCTGGCTCACACCAGTTGCCTCAACATTAGGGCTGTCCAGAACTGATAACAGGTGACTCACGGTGTTCCTAGGAAATGTTTCTTGAACCACTAGTTAAGATAACCATCAATGGTTAAGATCACATGTGTATGGTTGACACAGGAACCCGGTATTCCACACTTAGTATGCCACTCCCCGTTTGAAGGCATACCATACCTGTTGTTGGCTTCTCGGGACATACAGAGGAGTGGCCGCTTTCTGAAAAAGCTTCTTGTAAATGGAATAATCTGTCCTTTTATCATTCTTTCTTGCTTTCCCCCTCCTGTCCTGTTAATCTTTTGGCCTGTGACATAATGTGCTCACTAAATGTGACAATGATGAGGTCCCCGTACCATGTTGACATTACTTTTCCTGATGGTTCTATTCAACGCTGTGCAACTCCAAAAGCAATGTTCAGGCAAATGTTACAAACCACACCCTCAGGCATGGACTTGTCTCTTGATTCTTCAGCTGAGGTGTGGTGGGGATTTGTAACTACACCTGAAAAAACAGATTTGTGGGATACCTTCAAGCAGTGGCTTCCCTGGATTTCCATCCTCCACAAATACACAGAACCTGCTGAATGCATGCATTGCACCTTTAACTAGTCTCTGTATGGGGACGATGACTATGATGCTTTGTGGGACGGCTTTCTTCAGGGAATAGAGACATCACAGAGAACACCCACAGTTGATATTTATAATTGTACATTGGGCCTCAGGGAGTGGCAGCTTTGGCTGCACTGCCCAGTGAAATTCAGGACTTGTATGCCCTGTCTGAAAACTCTCAGCTCCTCATATCACTTTGTTAGTGGGTGAGGGAGGTGAAGCTAAGAATCTTGGTCCCATGGTGCATAGTTGTACAAAAGCCACTGATTGGATGCTCACACAGAATAAGCATCTTCAGTATTCACCTTCAACTCAGTGTTATACTATTAAGCATTCCTCACAGTTGTCATTGACACTGGAAAAGTGTTTTCTTCCCAGGAGTCATGGCAGAGAGAACATAGATCACCCACTCACTCAGACATTGTTATACAGTCTGCCCACTTCTCTCTGGTCTTCTGGTCCTACGGATGTGGGGCTTGTCCATGTGGAGCCTATCATGGTACCTCTACGTGCAAGGGCAGTACCAGTGTACAGAGCCCAGTATCCACTGAAACCTGAGCAAATTAGTGGCATCCAAAACACAATTAAGGGGCTTTTGCAATTAGGAGTTTTAATTCCTACTTCTTCTCCTTGGAACACACCTATAAATCCGGTGCCTAAAGCTGGGAAACCTGACTACAGGATGGTTCATGACCTTCGACCTGTAAACAAACTTGTGGTCCCTACAAACTATGCCACTCCAAATCCTTATACCATGCTCAATGCTTTCAAACTCTCCAAAGACAAACGACGGATTGGGAGACCTCGAGTCCCCTTTCTGGGATGCGTGGTGTCTGCTTCTGGCCTACACATGACTGAGTCACAAAAAACTGACATTCTCTCACATTCTAAGCCCACCACCATTAAGACTATGGTGCAGTTCTTAGGGCTTATAAATTACAGCAAGAACTTTGTGCCCGATTTCACCGGCCTTGTGGCACCTCTCTGTGCCATGCTTACAGAGGCGGGCTACAAGAACTATGGTTGTACTTTGTTGTTGACTCCACAAGCAGAGGAAGCTTTTGTTGCCATTAAACAGGCTTTGGCACACGCATGCGCTTTGCATGCACCTGACTACTCCCAGCCTTTTCATTTGGATGTTGATGAAAAGGACGGCACTGTGAATGCCGTCCTATTTCAAAAAGGGGAGAAAGTAGAGGACACAACCGAAAGGTGTTGATGTGCTACAGTTCTAAGTTGGACAATATTGAAAAGGAACATCCAACTTGTGTGAGACGTCGCTGCGATCGGTCGAGCAATACTGAAAACCTCACATATCACAATGGGTTATCAAACTGTTGTACACACTACACATGGTGTCAGGGCATTTCTGGATTCCAAAGCTTTCACATTGTCTGCACACAGAACCCAGAACTTACAACAGCTGTTGAACCAGGCTCACATACGGTTTACAAGTGAGGGAACAAACATGGCTACACAGATGGTCACTGAACAAGATCATGACTGTGTGAGCAAAACAGACAGAGATGAGACTGCATGAGAACCTGCATAAGGAACTGCTGCCTAATGCAGAGGTTACATTGTACTGTGATGGTCACAGTCATTAGACTGCCACTGGCAGTCTAGTTGCTTCATACACTGTGGTCAAGGACACAACGGCTGGCTTAAGAACACTGCAAGCTGATGTGATCCCACAGCCAAGTTCAGCCCAGATGGCTGAGCTGATTGCTCTGATAAAGGTGTGTCAGTTGGCAAAAGGCAAAGTTGTAAATATCTACACAGATTCTGCGTACATGGTACAGGCAGTACATGTAGACTTGTGCCACTGGAGGAGAAAAGGTTTTGTGACTTCAACTGGCTATCCGGTAAAACACTTGCAGGGCTTACTGGAACTAGATCAAGCGTTGTTGCTACCAAAGCAGGTGGCAATTATCAAGTGCAAGGGACATCAGAGAACAGAGACTCTGATAAACAGAGGTAATAACACAGCAGATCTGGCTGCCAAGGTAGCAGCCGGTTATCAGATAGCTCAGGGAGCTATGAAAGAGATCCAAGACCTACGGGGTCAGAGCTTTGGAAGCTCAGTACAGACAGGATCCAGGCCTAAGGGGTCAGAGTTTAAGAAGCCTAGGACAGGCTTTCAGGACCCAGAGGGTCCAGCTCAAGGAGCTAAACAGATGAGTCAAGACCCTGGAGAAGGGGGTCATGTTTGTGAGACAGAGTTGAGCTTGCAGACTATCAGGGAAATACAGAACAAAGCTGCTCCTACTGAAAAGCAGGCGTGGCTAGGCAAAGGAGCATCTAAGGATCAGACAGGACCGTGGAGAAACCACGAAGGTAAAATAGTAGCCTCAGCAGGACTACTGAGTTTGCAGTGTCAAGAGGCACACAGCAGAGGACACTGTGCAAGCTCCAAGATAAATAGTCTGATCTCTCAAAACTGGTGGCATCCGCATTTGAGGGATATCACCAAGTACTTTGTTGCAACATGTGAGACATGTAATAAGTTCAACCCCAGAGCCACGCTGAAGGCGGGGGGGATGTCCAGTTCCAGATGCTCCATGGAAAGAGATTGTTGTTGATTTCACAGATATGGGAGCTGATAAAAGAGTCGAAAGGAAACGATATTTACTTGACTGTGTGGATTCGTTTTCCAAGTGGGTAGAGGCTGTACCCACAAAAACAGAGACAGATAAAGAGGTAATCAAATGGCTCACTAGAGAAGTGATCTCTTGGTTTGGGGTACCTGAAATTATCAGATCAGATAATGGAACACACTTCTCAAACGATGATCTACGTCTGGTTGAACAGATGTTTGGGATAAAACACAAGTTTGGGGCTGTCTATCATGCAGCCTCTCAAGGGCTTGTTGAGCGTGCAAACAGAACCCTAAAAGGGCTCGTGAAAGTCTGCGCAGACACTAACTTAAGCTGAGTTGAAGCTCTACCTATTGTATTGTTCAACCTCAGGTCCACTTCAAATGCGACACTTAATGTAAGCCCACATGAAATTCTGACAGGGAGAAAGATGCCCTGTCCTCTAATTGTTATGCTTAGAGATTTAACATCTCTTCTTTTGCAGCCTGCTGACATGAGTAAGTATGTCAGACGACTGAGCAACGCTGTGATGAGTGTCTCTGAACAGGTTATTGAAATCCTGAGCAGGGACCAACCTGAAGAACTATTGGGTCTATTGAAAGGTGCATAAACTTCACTGGTCAGAGCAACGTTGGAAAGGATCTTACAAGGTAGCAGAAACTACCACACACTGTGTTAAACTGTGGCTCACTGAGAACAAGCTAAGTAACTGGATCCATAAGACACATTGTTCTCCAGCTGAGGATCCAACTGGACGGACAGTGAATGAGGTCAAGGCTGATTTGAGAAGCTCATTACCTGAGTTGATATACAATTCTGTAGAACCAGAGCTACAGTCAGAAGAGGACCTACACTAGTGTAATATCTATCAGAGAACAAAAACGTTGACAGGGACAG